GCTGAGACCCAGGAGCAAGCCTGAGAAGGCCCTCCCTCTGTGTTGAACCAGCCCCCCAGCACTTCCTGCAGGACCCCTCTCATGGTCCCCTCCTCCCCCAGGGCAAGAAGCTCCCTGCCAGCATCAGCGAGGAGGCCGAGGAGGGCGAGGTGTCCGACGAGGACAGTGCAGACGAGATGGACGATGACTGCAAGCTCCTCAACGGGGATGTGAGTGGGGCCGGGGGGTCGGAAGGGAGGGAGGCGGCCAGAAAAGACGGACTCGGGCAGATGCCCGGGGTAGAGTGCTGGGCACCAGGCTGCTGGGCACATACTCAGCCTGAAGCCATTGGAGGCCCCTCCACAGAGGACCCAAACCTTGGGCTCCTAGATAGTGTGCTAACCCTCTGGCTGCACATGTGCTGGGGGCCTGATTCTGTTCCCATTTCTGAGCCAACTCTCGGGGCACTGTTTGCTCAATTTGCCCGGTCCTCTGGCTGTCCTCCCTGGGTCCCACACCACTGCCACCCACACCTGAGTTTGCCTGGGCTCTGACCCTGACACCTCCTTCCTAGCCTCTCTCCAGCCAACCCCAGCTCCCCTCTGGGTACCCAGTGGTCCTGCCCGGCCATCCCCAAGCCCAGCCCCAGCCCCAGCTCCAAGCCCGGCACCAACCCCAATGCTGAGAACTCGAGCAGGAAGAGCCGGCCTGGCCCTGCTGGGCGTCCAGGCAGTCACCTCCACAGGGTGCTGTCCCTCTTCATGGCAGCACTGGGGCTGGGGCTGCACCGAGGGGGGAGCTGAGGAGTCGGGAAGCTTGTGCAGTGAGGCTCGGAGCCGCTGTAATTAGCAGCTTCCCTCCTCTGGGCCTTGCTCTAGGCAGGGCAGGCAGGGAAAGGCATTATCTCTCCCCGAGGGGCCATCAGGTGGGAAGTAACTGTGCAGGAGCTTCCCGGCCTCGCAGGGTAATCGTTTTAGAAACACCGCAGGCAGTGGAATTCTTCCTGCTTCCGGCGTGACTCAGTTCTGTGAGGTCCACCTGGCACCCACTCCACCCGGGGCCCAGAGCACCCAGATGCCCAGGGCCAGGCCCTGCCCTGGAGGGGTCCAGGTCCATCAAGGCCACCCTGGGGGCTGCCTTGGACAAGGTGGGCATCTGGGGGCTACACTGACCAGCCCCCTGTCAAGGGCCAGCCAGGCAGCCTGCCTCCACCCTACCCAACTCCTTGGGACAGCTGGTGGGATCACAGATCCAGAGCCGCTGATGGAGCAGGTGCTGTGCTCCCTGAGCTCCTCTCCCGAGGCCCAGGGAGCCGGGCGTCCTGGGAGCTGTGGCTGGGGCCCGTGGGCAACATTGTGCAGCTGAAGGCGGCGGTGTTGGAATCAGGTGGACCCGGGCTCAAGCTGCAGCCCTGGAGCAGGTCCCACGCCCACTGTTCACCTGGAGCAGGCAGGGTGGGTGTGAGGACCCGCCCGTGAGGCAGGAGTGCGTGTGCGGCCGGCACCTGTGGGAGAGGCAGAGATGGGGCGCTGGCTCCATCTGGGGAGGGGCTTCGTCATCGCTGCTGCCCGTGGGGCTGGGCACTGATGCCAGGCTGGCCGCCCGCTGTTCCAGGCCTCCGTGAATCGGAAGAGGGTGGAAAACATCGCCAAGAAGAAACTGGATTCCCTGATCAAAGAGTCCAAGATTCGGGACCGTGAGGACCTGAACGACTTCACTGTGTCCACGCTGCCCCCGTCAGGGAGACCTGGGCACAAGGCTGAGGGGAAAAAGGTGAGAGCCTGCGGGTGAGGTCAGCCTGTGGCCGGGCAAAGGGCCTGGAGCGTGCGGTCTGTGTACACCCACATGTGCAGACATCCACACGTGTCCGCGCACACCTGCACACCTGCACACACACTGTGCACATAAGCCCATGCACACGTGCACACCTGCACGCACACACTTGGGTAGACATGCGCACCTGCATGAACACCTGCATACACACCTGTGTACACACCCACACACTTGCACACCACCTGCACTTATACCTGCACACACAGCTGCACCGGACCCACAGCCTTCACTGTGTCACAGGTTTGCCCCACTTGTGTGGCTGCTCTGGTGGCTGCTCTGGTGTGGCTGGCAGGCATGGTCTGTCCCCTTGAGGCCGGGGCCTGCCTCTGCCCGCTGAAGGTCCTGCGGATGGCAGTTTGTGCATTGGCTGGGACTGGAGGCAACCCTCCCACTGAAGGGTCTCCTGAGTGACAGGGAGGGGCAGGCAGGACTCAGGGCCAAGCCAATCCTGGGGAGCTGCCCAGAGCCCCCCAGCCTCGTGAGAAAGTGCAGCTGAGCTCTGGGAAGTATCCTGGTGGATGAAACAGCTGCTGTCTCGGCAGGCGTGAGGGGGGGTGGGCAGCAAGGCTGAGCAGTCGGGGTCCCTCTGGGAGGGGCCTGCAAACCTCGAAGGACAGGCCTGTCATCCGAGTGGCCCCCAACCATCGAGTTCCTCAGGGGCTGTGGTGGGCAGGTCAGTGGCCTTGGGGCAGGGGCGTTTGGTTGGCTCTATAGACCCTTTTCCACAGATGAGCAGATGGAAGTGGGGTGGAAAACAGTCTCCTCGTTTCTGGAGAGTCCTGCCCACCGTCACAGACCCCACCGCTGTACAAGCCCAGGGGGTGGGGGGTGGAAGGTAGCTCCTCCCTGGCAGAGGTGAGGAGGGCTGGGCGCCCTACAGAGTATTCAGGTGGGGATGTGTGTCCTGCCCACGGGGTGTGGGGTGCAGCTGGCGCCACCACAAACTCGAGGATCGCTCCGTGCAGGTGGCTCCCACAGGTCCCTTGCTGACAGGTGGCTCTTTATTTCAGGCTCAAGATGTCTAGGTGGAGAAAACAGTGCCTGAGGCTCCAGTGGGCCGGTGGGCGGGCAGGCAGGCGGGCGGGCAATGTGCCCAGCCAAGCAAAGCCATGTGAAGTCCCTGCTTTCCCTCAGCCAGGCAGCCCCTGAGGGCACACCTGGGGATGCACCTGGGGGCACGTGTGGGCAGCCTCACCCTGGGGCCTTGCGTCTGAGCAGCTTCCTCGAGGGGGGTTAGGCACTCAGAGAAGGCTCGGAGGAGGAGAGGGGAAGCTCAGGCTGAGCTGCTGGGTGCGAGGACTTGGGGGGCAGTGGGAAATTCCAGCCTTGCCAGCAGCACCTGCTCCCTCCTGCTGGGATGACCCAGTAGAGCCACAGAGCAATGTGAGGGGGACTCAGGTGGGGTGGCATCTAGGCCAGTGGGTTCATGGACATGCCTCGAGGTGCCTGTCTGTCCTGTCTGCTGGAGGGCCTGAGGCCGTGGACCCCATTTCATGGGTCCCAGGGGGGCCCCTGTGGGAAAGGGCAGGTGTGTGGAGTGCAACAGGCATATCTATCTGGAGAGGAAGCAGCAGAAGGGCAAGGAAGGGGACCGCCCCACCCTGTGTGCTGGCACAGCTCCTGCGGGTACTGGTGCCCCCAAGGCCAGGCCTGGACCTCTGCAGGATACCCAGCCCCCAGCTCCCAGAAGGTCCAGGGCTGGGCCTTCTTGGCCAGGAGGGGTCTGGCCCGAGGTTGTGCTCCATCCTAGGTGCAGACTCTCCTCCGCCTGCCGTCTAAACCGCCTCCCTCCCACCCCCGAGTTCTCTGTGAGCACCGGCTGTGTCCAAGGCAGGAGGGACCCATGTGGGTCCTCTACTGCCCACAGCCCCCCTGAGGGGGTTGGGGCTTGGGGCTTGGGTTGGTGCTGTCTCCTTTGCCAGGTTTGGGGTGCATGGGGATTTCGGGGTGACAGCAGATTCTGGCTGCAGCCACTTCTCCAGGACGCTGGGCCAGCTGAGCCTCTCCTTGGCTGGTCCCAGACTCCTGTGCACTTGTGTGCGGGTTTCGAGCAATGAGTTTTGGCAGCATCTGGAGGAGCCTGGGGGGCTGGTGGTGGTGCAACGGGCTCGGGGACCCTGGCACCGGCTCCCAGCAGCTCCAGGCCTGTGAATGAGCTTTGGGGTGGATGGTGGGGTTGTGCCNAGCTTCCTCGAGGGGGGTTAGGCACTCAGAGAAGGCTCGGAGGAGGAGAGGGGAAGCTCAGGCTGAGCTGCTGGGTGCGAGGACTTGGGGGGCAGTGGGAAATTCCAGCCTTGCCAGCAGCACCTGCTCCCTCCTGCTGGGATGACCCAGTAGAGCCACAGAGCAATGTGAGGGGGACTCAGGTGGGGTGGCATCTAGGCCAGTGGGTTCATGGACATGCCTCGAGGTGCCTGTCTGTCCTGTCTGCTGGAGGGCCTGAGGCCGTGGACCCCATTTCATGGGTCCCAGGGGGGCCCCTGTGGGAAAGGGCAGGTGTGTGGAGTGCAACAGGCATATCTATCTGGAGAGGAAGCAGCAGAAGGGCAAGGAAGGGGACCGCCCCACCCTGTGTGCTGGCACAGCTCCTGCGGGTACTGGTGCCCCCAAGGCCAGGCCTGGACCTCTGCAGGATACCCAGCCCCCAGCCCCCAGAAGGTCCAGGGCTGGGCCTTCTTGGCCAGGAGGGGTCTGGCCCGAGGTTGTGCTCCATCCTAGGTGCAGACTCTCCTCCGCCTGCCGTCTAAACCGCCTCCCTCCCACCCCCAAGTTCTCTGTGAGCACCGGCTGTGTCCAAGGCAGGAGGGACCCATGTGGGTCCTCTACTGCCCACAGCCCCCCTGAGGGGGTTGGGGCTTGGGGCTTGGGTTGGTGCTGTCTCCTTTGCCAGGTTTGGGGTGCATGGGGATTTCGGGGTGACAGCAGATTCTGGCTGCAGCCACTTCTCCAGGACGCTGGGCCAGCTGAGCCTCTCCTTGGCTGGTCCCAGACTCCTGTGCACTTGTGTGCGGGTTTCGAGCAATGAGTTTTGGCAGCATCTGGAGGAGCCTGGGGGGCTGGTGGTGGTGCAACGGGCTCGGGGACCCTGGCACCGGCTCCCAGCAGCTCCAGGCCTGTGAATGAGCTTTGGGGTGGATGGTGGGGTTGTGCCTTGGGCAGGGGGCGTGGAGGGAAGGGACCCTGGACAGGCATGTTCCGTCGACAGTGAGGCTCAGTCCTGTGGAGCCAGGGTTCACCTGGGCCCCAGGGCGAACAGGGGGCAGCCTGGGGAGGGAGGCAGGCCTGTTATCGGTCTCATTAGGGAACACCTTGGCCGCTGAGGGGAGCAGGCAGCGGGGAGAGCTGTGGGGCTCCCCTAAAGGGTCGCATAAGCAGGCCGGGCGCAGGATTGTCCCGGACACACACACGGGCTTGATGACATTGTCACCGTCTGTGGAAAAAACTCAGGACTGGGGCCGTAACGAGTTTGAAACAGCCCCTCAGGAGCGGCCATTGCGGGTGTTTTTGGAGGGCCCCCTGCCCTTCTCTGGGACGGTGCCTCCTGTGGGGCCTGGGGCAGCAGCCAGCCCACCGGGCTACCCCTCCCTCCAGCCCCTCCCAGTTTCCCCTCCTCCAGAAAGGCCTCCTGGGCTACCTGGAGCACCTGCCCGCCCCCACCCTGCCTGGTCTGACGCTGGGCTCACCCTGTCCCTGTCTGTCCCTCCCCCCAGGTCGAGGAGGACATGGAGTCTGGGGAGGACCCTGGAGCCAGCAGACGGAACAGCCGGCTCCTTGTGAGCAGCTTCTCCAAGCGCAAGGTCCGGGGACTCCTGGGCTGGGGTCCTCCCTACACCCACGGGCCCCAGCTGTCTCTGTGCCAGCTGGGGGGCATCTCTTCCAGTCCCCAGGGTCCCAAGCCCACCTCCCCCTTTGAGTTCCTGGCAGCATCGCCTGGCTGCAGGTGCTGGGGTCTGGAGTCCTGGTCGGGGCTGGACAGAGCAGGGGCCTTGATGGCCATCCCTTGATCCGCACTGGTCAATGCCCTAAGCTCAGGTCACCCGGGTGCCCGGCTGAGAAGGGCACTGCAGAGGATAGAGCTGGCTCAGCCGGGCACTGTGGGTGCTGGGACCCCAGGACTGCCTCTTGCACCCTCCCGGCTGGCCTTCAGGCTCTGAGGTACTGACCCTGCCCTCCTTCCACACAGAAAAAGAGCAGCAAGCTAAGGAAGGTGGCCAGCGTGGAGGAGGCGGAAGAGGACCTGGACTCCCAGGGCGGCCAGAGTCGAGGGTCAGGGCTGGTCCCACCCTAGACCCTGGAAAAGACAGCGGCCATTGTCCTGGCCACAGCCAAAGTCAGATGCCCAAGCCATGGAGGGCTCGGGCGGGGCAGTGGGACAGAAAGTGGGGACCCAGGGTGTGTCCCCTGGGGAGGCGGGGCCGGGTGGCCAAGGCAGGCTCCTGGGCTTGTCCCTGGAGCGCCATCCCAGTCTGAGAGGTGTTCTCCGGGAGGCTTAGTGCCTGCCCCTCCCTCTGTGTCGCCTTTCGGGGCATCCCCTGTGTGTCCACTGCGCATCCTGGCACCTGGAACACAGGGCCGAATGGACACTTGATGGATAGTCTCCGGGAACCAATGAATTTGGCCGAACTTGGAGCCTGCCTCTTGGACCAGGGTGCGCAGGCTGGCCTAAGTCAGGAGGGGCATTGGCCTCAGGGCCCTGACCCTGCCCCGCCCTCCCCGCAGGGCTACCCGGCAGAAGAAGACCATGCAGCTGTCCCGGGCCCTGTCCGACCTGGTGAAGTACACGAAGTCCGTGGGCACCCATGACGTGGACACGGAGGGTGAGGGGTGCCCCGGGCTCCCAGGGCAGAGGGCAGGGCCGGGCCGGGCCAGGACCCCGAGCGCCCCTGACGGCGACGCCCGCGCCCGCAGTGGCATCCAGCTGGCAGGTGTCGTCCTTCAGCGAGACCAAGGCCCAGCAGATCCTGCAGCAGAAGCCGGCCCAGTACCTGCGCTTCAACCAGCACCAGCTGTCCCGCATCTATCCGTCCTCCTACCGCGTGGACTCCAGCAACTACAACCCGCAGCCCTTCTGGAACGCAGGCTGCCAGATGGGTGGGTGCGAGGGCCGGGGACCGGGGGCCCGGGGATTGTGGCCAGGGCTCCGCCTGCGTTTCCCTCTCTCCCTCGGCTTTGGACCTGCACGGTGTCCCGCCAACGTCGCCAGTCTGGCACAGAGGTGGGGTCCTTGGTCCTCGGGGTGCCTGGGGGCTAGGGGAGCGGGCCTTCTGCCGGGACGTGTGGCCCGGGTTGTGCACAATCCTCCTCAACCTCCGGGCCCCCGCTTGTGTCCGCGATCGCCAGCCTCACAGGCCGCGGTGCCGGGCTGGCGGGAGGTCATGGCCAGGAGCTGACTGGCCGCCTTGCGTCCCCGCCTGCAGTTGCCCTGAACTACCAGTCGGAGGGGCGGATGCTGCAGCTGAACCGGGCCAAGTTCAGCGCCAACGGCAACTGTGGCTACGTGCTCAAGCCCCAGAGCATGTGCCAGGGTGAGGCCCTGGGGACCCCCGGACACAGGGACAGGGCTGACCAGGGCGGGAGGGGGTCACGCTGGCACTGACACCCTGGCCGGGCCTGGGAGGGGCCTCCGTAGGAGCCACCCTCCTCCTCCTCCCCCGGACACTTCCATTTGCTCCCTGTGCTGAAAAGACCTGGGTTTCCTCCAGTGGGATCCTACCCTCCTCCCACGCCCTCCTGGCTTCTCCGGTGCTGACTTTCTCGCAGTGTCAGCTGACACAGGCTCCAGCTGCCCAGTCACCAGGACCCCTCACCCTCCACCTGGCCCCGGTCCCCTCCCCGCCATGCTCCCAGGCTCCAAGCCTCCCACCCAGAGGTGGGGTGGCCCTGCACGCACGCTCAGCCCCCCTTGTTCACTGACACAAGGGGACGAGCCCATGTCACAGGATGGCACCAAGGCGACCAGCGTACAGGTCCCAGCCCCTCCCCTTCCTCCCGGGCTGGGGGTCCCGCCCAGGAAGTGGGGGAGGGGGCGGGTGTGCCATGCAG